AGAGACAGATCCCTTTAACGAATTAAAATATCTTTAAGTAAGTAAAGCGGTTACGGTAGGAGAACCAATCAAAAGAAATGGTCCTGCATAATGTATGAGTTATCACGAATTTGGGCACACAAATCCTACCGCACATTGCGTACTGTATGCGGAGCATGTGTTGACCTCCACCATTCTAGTAAGTGCTCTTCAAAGAAAACCGATGCATCAAAGAAAAAGTGCAGCAATTGTGGTGGCAATAATACAGCCAATTGCAGAGTTTGTCTTGTGTATAAAAACTCAAAAACAAAACTTTCTCAAGGTATTCAAGCTGAACGGCCCATGCCAATTTATCCAGCCCAAACACTGGTCAAATAATGACCTCCGCGAGGGTTTTAAAAAACAAATGAGCAAGCTCCTCCCGTCATCATACAAAGTTCTGAAACAGAGGATATGATTCTCAATTTGACTCAGTTCATGATACAATTTATATATGAGAACCATGTTAAAAATGATCCAAAACCTTACTAAAGCACCAAACAATATTCTTTAAAATCATATTAGTCAAAAAATGGGGGCTATCTTGGGATACGTAAAACGTAATTTTTTTTCTTTGAACGACTAACCCAACGTTACCTACCTCCCGCCCAACTAACCGAGGGGCGCGTATGAAGCATAATTGAAAAATACAACAGACCGGTGACCGAAAACTAGTAACAGTCCAGACTGCTCTGAACCCGAAACCGACCGCGGAAGGTCGCGGTTACACTTGCCTCTTACAATAATCAGCTACAGATTTGATCATCAGCTGCTATAGAATCGCATGGGGAAAAGGAGAGGGAATCATTTAATTATTTAAAGCACTCAGGAAATAGGTTTTGATACAGAAAAGCGATACAGAGGAATCAACGTTGGTGAAATGTCTAAAAGGGTTGTCCAATTCAAAGTTTGTTCTGCACGAGCCCAATGAAAGGGGCCCAAAGTGTCTGGATGATCTTAATGGGATGGTAAAGTTAAGCTCGCTGATTAGGAAAGAGCTATTGATAGCACCTCTTATCAATTTAGGTGAAAATAATACTCCAAGCATCTTTCTACGACTATGGAGCATAGAGTGGGCCGATTAATGAGCCGTAAACGACTTTTGTAAGAAGGCAGGTTCTTGTTCATATCCCAGTTTAAATTTCTTATCGCGAATAGTAGGAATTGCCTTTGTACAGATTCCAATTTATCACTATACAAGTGGTAGTGCGAACTCCATACAACTGATCCATATTCCAAAATGAGCCAAACAAGTGAGGTAACTAGTTATTTAGTTATTTACGTGTATTTGAACTCATTTGCCCAACACTTAATGAAAGCTAAAAAGAATTTTTAGCCAAGAACTTGTATGATTTCTAAAGTCTAGCTTGGGGTCCATTGTGACATCTGAATCAATGAAGTCAGTAACTCTGTGATTATGTATCATATTGGCCAAGGATTGGAAAGATTTTCTGGAGAAGCACAAATATTTGCACTTACATAGGGACATACAGATCGCCTCGCACTACCAAACTAAATTATTTAGGTCGAGCTTGACATCATCTACGTACATGAGTATTATAGAATGAAGAACCCCATTTGGAAGATCAATGATGAATATAAGAAAGAGTAAGGGGCCGAGGTGACTGCCTTGAGAAACATAAGATGTTACTACTACTTTAAGTGATGTACAATATTTCAAATTTAATGGGTATTTCAACCAAAAGTTGTGTAGCAGACAAATAATCCACCTTTGTCACTAAACAATAATCTTCCCAGACCATTTGTACCTGAACTGAAAAATATTATTAGCGTCTTAACTTAGCTCTAAAAAGAAGATTTTGCACACGACCACATCATACCTAAAATGCTTAAAGAATTGCCAAACATTGCTATCGTTTTCCTTGCAAAGCTTTTCAGTGCCATATTAAAACTAGGATATTATCCACAGATAATTATGATAGCTAAACCCTGACACAATTGAACAAGGAAACCCAACACGAAATCCCATACCTTGGCAATCACTTTGATGGACTTGGAGGCAACACATTTCAGCCAAAGCTAAAGCTAACACTTTCCATTTGGTAGCGACTTTTAAGCAAGAAATCTGAAGTTAGCCTTAACCACAAAATAATCTAATATATTGCAACAATATAACCAATATGGTTGTATGGAGTCCAGTTGACGACTGTAGATAAAATACGAAGATTCTAGCCGAGTATGAGAATAATAACGGGCGCATTACGGTAAATGCGTAATGAAAACATTATTATAGATCTAAATGAACACACCCAAAAATACTTTACAAAACTGCGTAACCATCCGAACCCTTTGGCTAACACTTTGGCCCATGCAACAAGTCAAACTCGCTCGAAGAGAAGAGATGCGTTAAGCTGCAAAGGACTTGGTGTTTTAGTTTGGTTTAAGATTTCCGATGTCGAAGCAGATCCAAATAATAGATACTAATATTAATACAAAAAAAAATCTACACCAAAAAATTTTATTATTTCAATTTCTAGTTGTTAGCATATATATGTATATGCATTCTTATTTGGCTTTACCATACTCTAGGTGACGCCTTCCAAACATTTAAACAAGTTTTAGTTTTGAAAATGTTTGATATTATTGTTGGGAAATTGCTTCAATAGTATTCGGTTTCAAGATATTTAGTTCAACTTCTATATATATATATATATATCTATATTCTCAAAAGGAATCAAAAGAGAACAAGATTTTCATGATAATATTGAGAGCAGAGATACGGATGCTACCACGGTTGGTACAAGCTCAACAAACAAAAATTCGAATTCTATATTTAAAAAATGAAAGCAAATAGGCTTACTATACAGAGTTGGTTAAGCAAAGGACCGTTAGTCACGCATAGATGATACTCGACCGAGGCATTGATTTCAAAATTACAGTGTGAGTATTATTCGGACTCCGTTCCGGCAGAAAAAAAAAAATATAAAAAATTAGTTTGCAAATTTTTAACGACACGGACAATGCGAACGCAGTGAATGGCCGAATGAGTAGGCAACTCTGGAAAAAATCGTTTGGAACGATTTGGACGATTTGGAACGATCGAAAAGTGAGGTTACGTGAGTTATCAAGACGCTTGAACTTTATATGGCACAAGCCTTCGGCTATGAAAATTCTTGATATAAACGTGAATGCCCCGTTTGCTTGTTCAAAGTCTTCAGTAAACGTAACAAACCACAATTTTTAATGAGATATGTGACAAAGGATGAAACATGGATCCACCTCTTTACACTGATATCAAAACGATCGTCAGCAATTTGTGAGCATCGTACACAACAAATCGGTTGGGTATGTCTAGGTCTCGGCAGCTGTGCAGCGTTTGCACGTAGAAATTGCAAAGAAACGATCGCTTATGACAAGAATAATTTTTATTTCATGAAGACACCCCAATATTCACTCTCTCATATTCACCAGATTTGGCTACTAGTAACTACTGGGTGTTGAGGTATCTCGTTGAATCAAATTTTCGCACCTCTTCCGAGTCGTTCTGAGCGCCTTGCCAGGACTTAAAGTTTCACATTCTCTGCCGAGGGGCGACCGCAAATAGAAAAATTTATTTTCTATAATTTAAGATGTTCGATCGAACCAAGACTCCAACCCTAACTTTCCGAATGAAATAGAGATTGCTTTGATAAATAAATCGTTTGGCTTGTTATGCCCAAAACCTATTAGGTTTTTCATCTAAGCTAATCTCATCATCTACTTAACCCAAACCGAAAACCCAAAGCACAAACGGATAAATGTTGGTTCCTTTACATTTCAACTGATTTCAAAGGGCTTCTTTAAGATTTTTGTTGCTTGTACTATTTTTCGTTAAACCAGGTCAAGTTTATGTATGATTACATATGTATGTGTGTGTTATATTTTGCACTTTATATTCGAATGCCGCAATTCTGAACTATTTCAGTGGCTCTGTTAAGTGCAATCAAATTGAAATCCATCATCTTAAGGCAGCATTACTATTTAGCCAAGTGCCTTTGGGTAATTAATTAAATGTATGTTTTCAGCGTAATTGTTTGAGTTCTGTGAACTGCGTAAAAGCCATGCAACAACAACAACAATCGAAAACAAATAAAAATAGATCCAAATTCACCGGTAGACAAGCGATCTCTAGCATCTAACGCGCCCAACTACATTGTCGCAACGGCTGCCTGTACATATGTACATATTTACATACCATTATGTGTATGTATTGAAATTGCGAATACTTTTAAATGTAATTGTAGATTTCAATGCAAATTTTTATAGAAAGTGTCTTGTAGACAATCAAATTTTGTAGAGCAATGTTTCGAAGGGGACCACGCAATGAATTTGGGCGCACACACTATGCTATAAATATCATTTATTTACATAAATACATACATACATACATATATACATACATATGTATTTATGTATGTGTAAAAATACATGGTGTTGCTGTAAATATAATTAATTAATTATTTACATTTTATATCTATTTGTGCGCATATTCATTTACACACATTACGCTCATTTACATAGATATGTATGTATGTATGTATGTGCACACATAGAGTTAGAAGCGTGCGATGAATCCACCTGTGGCTGCTGCAACTTAAACTAATTAACCTCAATTACAATGTTGCACATGCAACACCTGCTTGACACACGCGCATAAATGACAAGTGTGGCAATTGGCGGATCGACTGCGTAGTCATGCCACAACAAGAACTACCTTCTGACCCAACTGCGACAATAACTGTAATATTACCGAACTATTAGAAATAATAAAAAGGACATAGAAGACATTGGAGATAGTAGAAAGTAGGTGCGTCCTTTAAGTAATTGGTTTTGGCTAACAATCGTTAACGTAGGAAATAATTAATAAGTGTGTATGAATAACTATTTTCGATTTAGCATAACGCCTTTCCCATATTATATCCCACTCACACACACACACACACACACACGCCCGTACGTAGTTGCGAAAATATAAATTTTACCCTTTTTATATAGCAAAAATGTTTAAAATCTTCTAGTGGTTCAAGTGCCCAAATGCTTGAATTCAAACACTTTATGAATATCTTAACTCGTTGCAGCCACTTTTTGTTTTCATCTTTTCAGGCCACGCGTCAAACGTCTCACTTTCGGGTAAGTGGCACAGATTTCCCGACACTGACGGGCTGCTGAAAATGTAACACGCTTCCGCAAGCACCGGGCACTTCGACAACAGACACCAACAATTTACCACTACTTTTCATACGCGTTTGTATGTGTATCTACAATTTATAGACTTTCTAGGCTTCACAAGTTAATTTTATTCACATTAACAAAAACTCGAAAGATCCCAATTCCTTCCGTACAGTTTGATGTTCGTAGCTTAAAACGACAGCACAAAACTGAAATGTCGCAAAATAACGGAAATACACGAAACACGTTACACACACTTCCGAATCGACTGCCGCAATTATGATGATACACCGCTAAACCGTTTTGCCAAAGCTACGATGGCACAACAATACGAGACTGTCGGCTAACTCTTCGACCGTATTTGTCGAGTGACGAATGTCGAGTTTGTTTAATTCGCGCTAAGGGAAAACGTGCGACCAGTTGCTGTGAGCGGCACGTTGCATCTGTTTGCGTTCAAAATCTTTTTGATTTCTGCTCCTCGACGACAACGGCAACGACAATGACGATGTTGACGACTACGTAGCGACCACGGCATCGACATCTACAGCGCCAGCGCCAGCGCCGGCGACAGCTGCAGCGCAGTACAACGGCAGTAACTACGACGTCGATGACGACGGCTGCGAATATAGCAACTTACACACAAATAAATATGCCAAGAAACGATTAGGGCACGCATCCAAACACAAGTTGGCAACGGCATCAAGAACAGTGAGCTGAAGTACTCCTATTTCGGTTTGAGAAATTGTGCAAATTCGTTAAGGAAAACATATGATGTGGAGCATTAGGCCTAAATCTTTACAAAAATATTAAGTTAAAGGGAGTAAAAGAAAACACGACCGAAAAAGGTTCCATCTCCACGAAGTGATATCATAAATTTTTAAAAGGCAAGCTGTGCGCTTTCAAATTGGAGATCAGATAATTTATATGTTTGAAAATCCTCAAGATATAAACTAAAATTACTATTTATTCGCGTTTGTTTTATTTAAAAGGTTTTGTATTACTTATCACTTATTTATTAGAAAAATGTGTGTACATACATTTAATCATTGAGCGAAAAATTTGCATAAATGGCAAATTTGCGAAAGCGATATCCTTCTATTTCCAGTAGTTTTATTCCATTATTTTATTTTATCTTTTTTATTTTTCTATTTTATTTTATTTTATCTTTTTTATTTTATTTTATTTTATTTAATNTATTTTATTTTACTTTATTTTATTTTATTTTATTTTATTTTATTTTATTTTATTTTATTTTATTTTATTTTATTTTATTTTATTTTATTTTTTTTCATGTGTACTTAACATTTCAAATTACTTAGCAATCACTCAAGGAATCCAATTCCATCTCCTTACAGTAGAGGCTGAAAAAATGCAAACAACATGAACACAAAAAAATTGCAAACACTCGTACATTATTGAAACACAAGTAGATCAGACAAAACAATAGACGAAGTCCCACACAACGAGCAAGCAGAAGCTCGACAACAGAAAAATTGTCGTCAACTTTGACGTAGCAGCAGCAGCTGAAACAAAAAGAATACTTTACGCTGCTTGCCGCGCTGACTGCGTTGTTGTAGCTGCGCATTTTGACTTCGCGCAAGAAAAAAAATGCCGAAGAAAAGCAAAAATCAAAAGAACAATAACCATAAGAAATGGCGAAGAACAACAATCGACCAAATCGAACTAATTCGGCAAAATATAAAAGATATAAAAATTTTTACGCATACACTCGCGCACTTGTCGAAACAAACGCTTTGTAAAAATAGTAATATACATACTTTTTACACTCGGGGAAATTCGAGCGCCATCACGAAGATGTGGTCGTCTGTGATGGCAATTCAAGAAGGGAAACTGCCAACGAAACCGGGTAGAAGGAAACAAATGTGTAAGAATTATGTTTGAAAGTGTTTGATTTGAATGGTTTCTATGTATGTGTGAGTAGAAAGCTCAAACGATTTTTGTTTACATAAATACAATATATACATATGTATGTGTTTGCTGGCGAGGACATAAACACATTTTAATTGATGTATCGTTAAAAAATTCCTCGCAAGTATATTTTAGCAGGTTCTCTTATGGGTTTTCATGCATTTTGCTTAGAATACCTAATCCTTTTACAACATTTTTTCTAACTTCTCTGTGTTGCTAATGCATAATGTAGTAAACAGTTATGCCTACAGTAATTGTGATGGGAAACTCATACTGTAAAAAATTTCCTTAACTTGTTTTCGGGTCGCTTTTATCTGACTACAACTCTTCCCCGTTGATTTCAGTTCGAATTGCGAAAATAATTTTTAAGTTTGGAAATTTTTCAGTTACATCATTGCCAGCATATGATTCGGTTGAAACTTTGGAAGTTTTAGCGTTACAGCAGTTAAGAAAATAAATTTTATTTCGCTTTTACCTGAAACGCTAAAGTTAAATCGTTAACAGATAATGTTAAACGTTAAAAAAGAAGTTTGCTCAACTATTTTAAAATTTACTTTAATATTGGGTTTGTGCTGTTTCCACGTTAAGGATCTTATTTCGTTTCGATATAACGACTCCAAAACGAGACATTTTCATTTCGTTAAGTTAATTTTTCTGATTTTTAGTAGTAACTGTATGCACTCTAAGATGCTTTACTCCGCCAATATTTGATTTCTTTTTACTCAATTAATGTTCCAACTTGTCATCTTCCACTAACGAGATAAGTTTGAATTATTACGTTATGCAAGTGTTTCCCGGAGAAAAGCAATTAAACGAGGAATTTCTCTCTCCGTATTATCCACTCAACAAATAGCGACTTTCATTCATCTTTGGTCTACTCAGATTAACGAAGTTAAGGTCTCATTCCATTCGCCATGGAGGTTGAATTTTCCGAAAGTATTGAAAAAAACGGTGTTCACCTTATATACTTTGCTACCATATTAGCTGAGGAGGTTCACGTATCACTTTGTCTAAGAAAGGAGCACTATTGCTCTTTGATAGTTATATTCGTGATCTCGTTGCATAAGGCGAGCATTGAATTTTCATTCACGTTAAGGAAAAATTGCCAAGCGAAATAAAAAAGAGGTGATTTAGACTTGAGGAAGAAAACTGATGCATCTCGAAAAAATATAAGAAATGTTTATTCCAACTCATTTACTTACGAAAAAAAAAAATTAATAAAATCCAACAATTTTTTTTAAATACTCGTAATCTCTAATACAGCAACTTGTCACGCTTCTCTAATAACTTATGTGTTAATATGTTGTGTGTTGTAATTCAATACAGAAACAGGCATCAAAAATTGTGTTTCGCTAGACCTAACATGCATTTGTATGTACATACTTATGATGATTCTACCATTAGCGCCCATATGTAAGTTGATATTTTCGCAAAAAAAAAAAAAAAAAAAAAAATAAAATAAAATGAATAAATAAATAAACGTTAAGTAAGCATGACCAAGCACGTCAGCTGAAGAAAGATATTTTCTAAATACTTAAAGATTTTTTATTACTTTTAAAAAGATGTTTTCGAGCATACTCGTACATACATAGGTATATACATACATAATTGGCGCTTTGAATCCGCTGAATCGTTTTTAGGCCGAGCTCCTCCTCTACCAATGTGGTTTTGCGTCTTGTTGTTTTTCCAACAAATGGAGGGACCTACAGTTTATGCTACGCCGCCTACGAACGGCTGATGGTTTTTTTACGTGGTTTATTGCATGTCAGAAATACTCTCGGAGGAATTGAAATTCCCTGGCGAAGGGCGACCGCAATTAGAAATTTCATCTTAATTTTTAATTTAAATTAATTTTCCATAACTTTTGGATGTTAGTCGGACGGAGATTTAAACTCCGGCCTTCCGAATGGGAGTACGTAATGCTAACCACTCGGCTACCACGGCCGCCTATCTACATGTATGTATGTTTATATTATATACAGTTGCGTTTTTTTGGCCTAGCTTATTCTGAGATTTTGCTTACGTCGCTCTCAGAACATTCAAAATAATCTGAGCGCTGAGTACATTACCCTGTAGGTTGCTGTCAGGAACTTTAAGCGATGTTACTGTTCTTGTGTCGAGTATGTAAAATATTCTAAATTCCCACGTACTGTAATAGTATCTATTTATATATGTGTGCATTGTTTTATATTCTTATGCATTCTACGGGCGTACGTACATACATATGTTCGTGTGTTTCGACAATTTCTAATCATATTCAGAGTTTTCTTACTTGCCATCTTCTCATTTTACTATAAAGTTAAAGGAGCTTTTTTCACGTCGGACAGACGAAGTTTAGCTACATACATACATATATTATTTGCCACCTTCGGAGACAGCGTTTTTTTACTTGATTGCAAGTTGTTTTTTTTTTAATTTTTTTTTTTTTTTTTTTTTGTTTTTGGTGGTCAACCTCGTAAGGTAAGCCAGCAGTTTAGTTGGCTATCGCTTACTTGGGCGTTTGTTGCATAAGGGATTTCCTGGAATTTCAACGTGCCAATTCAGCAGTTCTTTGCCTTATTTGCCCAGTTTTAGTTTTTGTTATTCTTTGCCGCTTTTTCGCACACAATGATTACGTTGCAGGTGAATTCCCAAAATCTCTAGATATGTACATTTGTAGGCATGTTTGTATGTACATATATTAGTAAAATACGATCTTTGGGCACTTAATATTCTACATGCATGTTTGTAGGTATACGCTTATATACTTATGTGTGATATGTAGGAGTATTTAAGTAGTGCATATTATATGTGCGTTCATACATACGTACGTGTATGTAGGTATGTATAAACACTTAAGGGACATTCCATTATCACTCTCTATAGATCATTTGACTCCAGAATTTTAAAAACTGAGTGGGACATAATAAAACTATAATGCATATATGGAATGATAATCATAATCGTGAGTTGGAGTAAATATTAGTAAGAATGACACTAAAATGATAAAGGGTACTCTAACTGTTTGTAAATCATCAGTTTAGCTTTAGCGCCAAGCTCTATCGAGCAATTACTTTAAGTTGTCTGCTTTTATTTTTCTAAAGACTACTACTTCTTTTCGGCCGTTCTGACGTTGAAACTAAAAACAGAAGAGTATAATGCTAAATCATACATATAAAAACTAATGGCAAATTCGACCAAATAAATTTTCACTGTTAAAGGCATATAAGAACTTTAACTATGAGCGCGGTACTCAGGAACACTAATAGGATTTGTGCGATAATTAAGGGAGAAAAGGGAAATTGTTCTGCGATATTATATATATATATATATATAATAAGATTAAAACATGAACCCTGGAACCTGTCAGGCGTCGCAGCAATCGGACCCAAAGAAATATCCAGGGCTTAATACACAAAATTACAACGAAAATACTGAAAGAGATGAACTCTTTAATGCGATTCTTAAATAGAAAATTATAATGACAGCGAGGTAGTGATTGTCGCACTCAG